CCCGAGCACTTGTTCCAGTTCCTGCCGGCGCTGCTGGACCTGGGGACACCGCGGCGGTCACGGAGGGACAGGGGACACTGCCCGGGGTCCCGGGGACCTGTCACTGCCATCCCAAGCCCGTCCCCACCCCCGAGCTCACCTTGGCAAAGATGTGCCTGCCCACGGCCTCCTGCGCCCAGGGCTGTTGGTAAAACTCGGCCCGCCGCTCCTCCTCGGGGTTCCCGATCACATCCGTGATGATCTGACCCAAACGGGAGGGGGCACCGGGAGTGAGCTCCACGAGGGATCAAAACCCCTCCCTGAGCTCCAGGATGGACCCAGACCCCTCCCAGCCCCAGGGCTCCAGAATCATGGAATTGTTAAGGTTGGAAAAGCCCTTCAGCCCTTACCCCAACACCATGTTCACCGCTGACCCATGTCCCCAAGGATGGGGACTCCACCACTGCCCCAGGCAGCTGTGCCAGTGCTGGACAACCCCTTCCATGAAGAAATTTCCCCCCAATATCCAACCTAAACCTCGGCAGCAATTGTTCCCCTTTACCTTGAGGTCCCTCCTCTGGGATTTGATCCATTCCTGTATGAAATCCTGGGGGTTGTTGCTGAAGCTCAGCATGAAATCCCTCTGTGTCTTCAGCTGGTTGATGGACTCGATGGTCTCGTGGATCTGGGGAGGTGCCAGGGGTCAGATGAGCTGTGTCCCCCCACGGGACACGGCTGTCCCTGCCTGCAAGGCTGGCCCCTGTGTCCCCTCCCACCTTGGCATCCAGGGAGGCGATTTCCTGCTGGTTGGTGGTGGAAGCCAGGAAATTGCTCATCTGGGCTTTGAGGGGATCGTCCACCTCCACATCGATGTCGTAGCAGGCTGTCTTCTTCTGGTCATTGGGGTCCACGCTGGGGGAATGGGGTTGGGGGGACCTGCTGAGCTCCCACCTGACTCAGGGGTGGATGGACCCTGACAGCAACATCCATGTCCCAAGAAACCTCAAATTCAGTGGTTCTTCCCCTCCCAGGTGACTTGTGCTGGTCCTTCAGGGTGGAGACCTCAAACCCTCAGCCCATGGAGCCCCCCCTGGAGGCACAGCCCATCCCATGGAGCCCCCCAGCCCTGGGGACATTGCTTGGCTCCCTCTCCACCCATGGGGCACTCCCAGCCCTTGGGGACAGCACTTGACCCAAAACCCACCCCACTGAGTCCCCCAGCCCTGGAGGTGCTGCCCAGCCCACAGAGCCCCTCAGGGACCGTGCCCATGCTGTGCCCCCACCTGATGGTGTGGTTGATGATGATGGGGTCCGGGTGCTGCAGGAGCCCTGCCAGCTTCATGGGGATCTCGGAGAAGCGCATGCGGACACAGTTGAAGATCTGGGGGACAAAGCAGAGCCTTTGGCACCCATGGCAGGGTCTGCCCCCACCTGTGCAGTCAGGTGGGGCATCCCCAAGCTGGTGGTGCAAGGCAGAGCCCAGGGAAGGGGCACAGCCAGAGTCTGGAGGGGCAGTGGGAGCTGGGCAGAGACTTCTCCCAGCCGGGTGAGGTGGGAATGTGCAGATACCTGGCGGAAGTAGCGGTTGCAGTTGATGAACTCCTTCTCGTGGCTGTCCTGCAGTTTGTTGTGTTTGATGTAGAGCCACAGGGCCTGCATGATGCTGGCCCTGGTCTGGGTGTGCACCCCCAGCAGCCGGGCCAGCCGTGGGTCCAGCTTGTACTGGGGGGGCTGCGGGGACAGCCGGGGTCAGCCACGGAGCCAGTGGGGATGGAAAAGCCCTCCCGGACCAAAGCCCAACCCATGAGCCATCCCTGTCCTGTCCCCCAGCCCAGAGGGGTGTGCCAAGCTGCTCCTGGGACAGCTGAAGGGATGGGGACTCCACCGCTCTCTGGGCAGCCTGTCTCAGTTTTATCTCTCTTTCCATAGAGAAATTCCTCCTGCTGCTTGGAGAAGAGACACTCGTGAGTGTCCCCCACAGCCCCTGTGGCGCTGCATGCTCAGAGCTCCCTGTGCACCTTTGAACCCTGCATCCCCCAAACCCTCATCCAAGGCCCTGTCCCGGTTTTTAACTCCCTTCCACACAGAAGTTTCTCCTGCTGCCCAAAGAGGAAGGTGGGGTCTGTCTGGCCCTCAGGAGTGTCCCCCACAGCCCCTGTGTCACTGCAGGTCCCTGCCCGGAGCTCCCCCTGCATCCCCAAACCCTCATCCAAAGCCCTGTCCCAGCCCATCCCCACCCCTGGCTGCCCCCCAGGTGGCCCCAGGCTGTACCTGGTGGTCCAGCATGAGCAGCAGGGTGCACTTCACGTTGACATCCCCAGGACGCTTCACCTGGAAGCCGTCGGTCTCCTGGGTCGTGGGCATCCGGTGCCACTGCGGGGACAATGGGGACAGCGCTCAGGCCAAGAGAGCCACCTGCCAGCAGGGCCTGTCTGCAGAGCTGGCCTGGGGCTCTGGGCAGGGGCTGGCACAGCCACACAGCCCTGGCAGCTCCTGATCCCAGGGGTGGCAGCTCAGAGCTCTCCCAGCCCGTCCCATCCCGGGATGTGCTCCAGCACTGGGATGGGCTGGGGCAGTTCCAGCCCCGAGTGCTTGGGGTGCAGGACTCCCACAGCCTCTGGATCAATCCTGCAGGGAACGTGCATCAGAGCTGCTCCCAACCCAACCAGAAGGGGGTTCAGGCTCTCCACAGACTCTCCCGGGCCAAAAGCACGAGCTGGGTGCAGAGGGAGCTCCAGGCAGGAGCACCCAGCAAAGATCTGATCCCTCTCCCAGGCATGGCTTAAACCTCCCAAGGACCCTCCAGCTGAGGGGCAGGCAGGAGGGCAAATCCTCCTTCCCACATGGCACTGGGATGAGCCTCCTGTGGGATCAGCACCCACATGGGGACCCCTCTGTGCCAGGCTGGGCAGGAAAATGGCCCCTGGAGCCACTCCCTGCCCCCAGAACAGCTCCAGCTCTGGCTGAGCACCTGGGTTCAGCTGAGGGCTCAGAGCTGACCTCTGCCACGGAACAAAACACATCACTGAACTTGAGCCAGGAAAGCAGGAGAGCATGGTCCCGACAGAGGGCCTGGCACTGTCCCCAGCCCCAAAAACCTGCCCAGGTCTCTCTCCCAGCAGGACAGGCCCCGGGCTGGGAGCTGAGCACCCAGAGAGACCTGAGATCCCATTCCCCCTGGGATCCCTCCCACCTCACCTCCACCAGGTGATTGTCCGGCCCATAGAGCTCCTTGTCCAGCTCGATCACAAGGCTCTTGAAGAAGGAGGAGAACTTCCTCTTCTGCTTGCTGGGCTGCAGACAGGGCAGCAGAGATTCCTGATCCCAAACCCAGCCCCAGAGCAGGGCAAGGGCTGCCCCAGCACTGCACCAGTGCTCCCAGCACCTTCTCGTGGACCACTGCTCCTCCTCCCACCACCTCATCCCTCCTGGATGATCCTGATGGACCAGCTCCTCCCACCAGCACTCCTTCCCTCCTGGATCCTTATGGACTGACCAGTGCTCTCACCACCTCCTCATCTACCTTGGATTATTATGGACCAGAGCTGCTCCTCCCACCATCATTCATCCCTCCTGAGTCCTGATGGAGCAGCTCCTCACCCCTCCTGGATGATCCCTACGGATCAGCTCCTCCCACCACCCCACTCCAGCCCTCCTGGATCCCAACGGAGCAGCTCCTCCCTCCCTCCTGGATGCTCCTGATGGACCAGAGTTCCTCCTGCCACCCCTGCTGGATCCTCACATCCTCCAGCAGCTTCCCCTCCACACGGAGCTCCCAGGAGGCCACGCGCTCCCCGCCCTCTCCTTCCTCCTTGGCTGGGGTGAAGGTGTTGGAGATGTAAATCCTGAGCTTCCGCTTTTGCTGTGGAATGGGAACGGAGAGAGGGGAGGACGGAGTGAGAGGGGACTGCAGCACCCATCTCCATGTCAGGGTAAGAGGAAATGGCCTCAGGGGAAGTTCAGCTTGGATACTGGGGAAAATTTATCCACGGAAAGGGCTGTAAAACATTGGAATGTTCTGTTCTGGGCAGAGGTGGAATCCCCCATCCCTGGAAGTGTCCCAGAAACGTGTGGATATTCCACCTGGGTGAACATGGCTCAGGGTGATGGTTGGACTTGATGACCTTAGAGAATTTTTGCAACCTTAAGGATCCTGTGATTCCATGAATCCGTGATTTCCAGCCCCCCTCTCACCGTCAGGGGTTTCTTGATGGCCTCCTGGATCTCCATCCTCTTCCGAGCAATGGTTTGGTCCAGCTTGCGCTCGAAGGCCAGGAGGTCCATGTAGGCCTGGGATTCTGGGACCAGCTCCCGGATCTGGACATGGCAATGGTCAATCCTGCTGTGCCGGGATGGGCTGGACCCCCCCAGCCCCAGCAGCCAGGGAGACACCAGGTGATGAGTCCAGCATCCAGTTCTTAATTTAAACCCAGCCTGGAGCCCTGCAAAGCTCTGCCCAAACCAGTCTGGAGCCACTAAATGCTCCCAGAAGCATTCCTGGTGTCCCAGCATGGAACGAAACCCTGGAATGTCCAGAGGGACTCTTAGGGACCTTCTGAGAACTCCATCCCACCCCATTCCTGCTCCTCGCTTGCTCAGAGTCCAACCCTCTCCTGCCACACCAGAGGGAGAGACAGAAACATTCCAGGGTGGGTTGGGATTGAACAGAAATTCCCAGTGGGCAGGAGGGAACTCGGGGAGATCCTCCCTGTGTGGGGACCCCCCATCCCCTGCAGCAGCTCAGCTCTGTCCCCTGGGCTGAGGTGACACTCACCCTCTGTGGCAGCACCTTGTCAGCCATCTTCCTCCTCTTCACCCTGGCAAATGGAACAGTTACAGCTCCCCCAGGACATCCTGCTGCTGCCCCCTGGGGGGATGGATATTGGGAAAGGCTCTTCCCCCAGAGGTGCTGGCACTGCCCAGGCTCCCCAGGGAATGGTCCCGGCCCCGAGGCTGCCAGAGCTCCAGGAGAGCTTGGACAGAGCTCCAGGGATGGACAGGGTGGGGTTGTTGGGGGGTCTGGGCAGGGCCAGGGCTGGACTGGGGGTCCATTCCCAACCAGGATATTCCTGGGGGGAAGGGGTTGGATGTTGGAACCTCACACCAGGGAAGGAAATCCAGGAAATCCTGGAGCAAGTGGAGGTGGTAACAAGGCCAAGCCAGGGCTGCAGGACAGAATTCCCGAATGTCCCCTCTGAAAGCAGCCATCCCATTCTCCCAGTGCTCCAAACCAAAGCCACTGCCAGGAACTCCCTTAAACCCAGCTCAAACCAAACCCTGCTGTGGTGGGGCTGAAATCCTGGGAAAATCCAGCTCAGCTGGATTCAATCCTGCCCACTGCAGATTGCCATCATCCCGAGCCCATCCCAGTGCCTAGCACAGCAGGGAATGCTCTCCTGCTGTTTTCCTGCATGGGAGACAGGGCAGCACAGGGAATTCCTGTTTCTCCAGCCCCATGTGGAGCAGGAGGATCACACGGGAGGGGTCCAGGAGAACACTCAAGGAGAGGTGAGAGCCCCGCTTTGGAGCAATTCCTGCCCCATCCAACCCCTCCTGCCTGCAGGGTCTGGACACCCCAGAGCAGCTGCAGCTCCTAATCCCCTGATCCGGGAGCAGGGAATGCCCAGCCAGCTGAGCCTGGCTGATCCCCAGCCAGGATGGCTTGGATGTCCCTGTGGGTGCCAGGCTGTCCCTGTCCCCAGTCCCCCGCTCACTCCAGCTGTGCAGAGCTGGGATGCCCCAGGAGGGATCAGGGAGCCAATGGAGCTACCGGGGAAGGGAATGGGAGCTGAGCATCCACAAGCACCAAGGGATCCTGCCCACACATTCTAGGAACCAAACAGCCCTCACAGAGAGGGATCAGCAGGGCTGTGAACCAGTGAGGAGCTGCTGGCAGAGCCCAAGCAAAGAGTCCTGCTCTGACTGCAGCTCCAGGGAGTATCCCTAAAATCTGCCAGCCCCATCCCACACTTCCAGCCACATCTGGGCCTGCCAGAGCCACCAGGGACCCCTGGGAGGATGAGGAAGATCCCCAGGAGCTGCTGCTGGGGACCCCACGAGGCTCTTTGGTGTGGGGATCAGAGTGAGGGGAAACTGCCAATTCTGAGGGATCTCTGCCTCTGGCCCAAAACATCCCATTGCCGAGCTCTGGCCGGTGCCAGGCTGGAGGAAAACCCTGCTGGTCGCCTCCTCTGCAGCAGGACAGGATGCAACATGTGACATGCATGATGTGACACTTGTGACACACTTGAGTGGGACCTGGAGAGGCTTTGGGGTCTTAAAGAGAGTCAAACATTGACTGGACACAGCCCTGGGATCCCTGTCCTGAATGGAATTACAGCCACCTTTGTACAGCTCTGTGTCTGCAGTCACATCTCATTGATATCTACATTTTTATATTATTTATATAGATATTTCCAAAACAGGGCTCTCCTGTGCTCTGAAGAGGTTTCCCAGCAGAAGATCCTGTTGGGACTGAATTACTGTGGCTAGTTTGAACAAAGCAGCTCCTGGCTCAGCTCAGATGGAAACCATGAGGTGAAACACAAGGTGGATCCATTGAGAAGCAGGGATGCAGCTTCCTGGAGCCCAGAGCACCCCAGGGTAGCAGAAGGTGCCCCAGGGTGGGACTGGATGGGCGTTAAGGTCCTTCCACCCCACCCATTCCGTGATTTTACAAAGTGCAGCAGGCACCCAGCAGGACCCACCGTCCTCCCACAGGAATGGCTCCGGGATGGGACCCCAGCCCTTACCCTCTCCTGGGGGTGGCCATGGGTGGCTGTGCCTGGGGGGTCAGCAGGCGCTTCCTGAACGGATCCATCATGGCCTGGGGCAGGCCGGGCCTCAGCGGGGTCGCTGCTCCGTACGGGGGCGCTCCCGGGGGCCCCACCTGCAGCCCTGCCATGGGCATCCTGCTCCCGGGGGGCATCCCTGGGCGCTGCTGGGAAACAGGGACACGCTTAAACGGGACCTGAGCACGCTGCCAGCCACCCCCCGGTGTCACCCAGCCCCTGGTGCCAGCCACCCTCTGGTGTCACCCATGCTCCAGTGTCACCCAGCCCCCGGTGTCACCCAGCCCCCGGTGTCACCCACCC